GAGAGAGAGAGAGAGAGTCTGTGCGTGCGTGTATGTGTGTATGTGAGAGAGAGAGAGATCCACCGCCGACATATGTTTGGCTTGAAGAAAATTTGAATCGGATGCTGCCCTTTCTGTTTTAACTTTCTTCTTCTTCTTCTGTACCCTTTTCTTCTTTGCATTTTCCACCTCATACTGTCGTCTGCCTCCTCTTCCATCAGGTATGTATGCTGGCTGCTGCTTGCGGGCCTGCACACCCAAGAAACGCACCCCGCACCATGAAAACCTGTCCCCGTCCTGCCCTGAAACGAACGTGCCCATATCTACCACAAAATTGGCGAAGATTCATATCAAACAAAAACAAAACATAATTCCTCGACTTCAAGAAAGTCATGCACCTGTGATTGCTATTTGAGTGAACCCACCTGTACCTATCCCAAAATGGGCGAAGATTCATATAACACAAAAACAAAACATAACTCTCTACTTCCAGAAAGGCTGGCACCCATGAATCTGGGTGCCTGTCTCTCTGCTGGGAACGTAGTCCACACTTGTTTTGCTGGCAGTCCGTGATGACAGGCGCCAGTAACTGCTTGGGGGCTGCTTGCCCTCACAGGCATCCCCTTCGATACATACAGCCTGCTTCCGCGGGCAGATACGTGCACCCAAGTCCTCCTGTGAGTGTGTCCTGAGAGAAACGGGCTACTTGAGAAGTTCGAGAAAACTAACAGCTACAATGCAGAGTAGAGAGGAGCCGCTACATCCTGGATCTAGCAGTTAAGAAAATGCAACATACTTGAGCCCTCACTCAGTGTCAAGTGCTGTGTTCGTTGGATTTGAAAGGAAACGGTCATCCCCAAGATCTGAACGGTTGAGAAACGCCCTGCCTTCCTGGCAGAGCACCTGAAGAGAAAGACGAACTCAAAGAGTTCCTTCAAATGTGGCCTAGGAAGGTGGCCACAACCATTTGAATGACAAAAGAAAGCAACTGCTTCTTTCTTCATTGTGTTTTTTTTGTTTTTTGCTTTCTTTCTTGTTATTGTTTCTTCACCGCAGTGCCAGCGAGGCAGGGGTTCTGTCCGCATATATGGAAACACATCTGCGGATTGAACCAGCAGGACAACCTTTTGCCCGTTTCCAATGGGCCTGCAAGCTGACTCTCCCATCGCACTACCTGGGCTTCCCCGAGCCCCGAAAATTGTGGGTGGGGACGAGTTCCATTTTCTGCAAGGCTGGGGCCGTTTACTAGCGGTTTAAATGGCACAATCCACAAGAGGTGATGTGATGAATCTGCCAATTTGCAAAGCTTCTGGCACTGGTTCATCATCCTCCCTATGTTCTCAGGAGAAGATCTGCCTTCCAAAACCACTTTCTGAACAGTCTGCTAAGCGAACGGCCAAGTCCCCACTGAGAGACGGGGCCATTCAACTCCTGTGTGACGAAGAACTCGGTGTTCATCACCATGCAGACAGGACAAGACGGGCATTCGTACTTACCATATGGCAGTCGCTGC